AGACGCCCTCCCCCAAAGAAGCGTTTATAATTCCCTGGAGCCAGGCTCGTGTCCCCTCCCGGGCAGCCAGTACCAGCCAGGAGGGGCACGGATCCAGTAAGCATGTGGTTGCATTCAGCCTCCCCAGAATCCTGTCCACGTCCTCGGGAGCCACAGAGTCGAACTCATCCCATATAACAGTCTCAAGACTTGCTCCTGTATTTGTACTGTGAGTTATCAGTAAAGGTCTTGGCAGGCAGCCACGGAGTTGCTGCCAAGTGTTTATCTGTGTTTTTGGCAGTGCTGAGCAGTCTTTTAGCCCTCGGCTGACTGGTTGGGGTGTGTGAGTCGGACGGGGGACAGAACAGACCCCTGATATAAGATATAAGATATAAGATATAAGATATAAGATATAAGATATAAGATATAAGATATAAGATATAAGATATACGATATACGATATAAGGCATAAGGCATAAGACATAAGATATAAGATATACGATATAAGACATAAGATATAAGATATAAAATAAGAGGAGAGAGGAGAGAAGAGGAGAGTATAACCTTAATTGTCATTTTTTACGGTGAGCACACTGGCCCAAATTAAAAATGAAATCCTGTTGACTGCTCTCAAAAGAAAGAATATATCTACCCATACACACACCTACCACACATATACACATGCTATATACCAGTGATGGCGAACCTTTTAGAGACTGAGTGCCCAAAAACTGGCCCCGCTCCCACTCCACCCCCTGCCCTGCCCCCACCCCATCCCCCACCCCACCTGCCCGCAGGGCCACTCACTGCCTCCAGGGCCCAGGCAGCCCAGCAGCGCCATGGCGGCCACGCCCTCTGCCCGCATCCTGCAGCATCAACTGTGCGGGATGAGGCATGAGGGCAGAGTCTTGTCTACGCTGCCTGGCTGCCATGTCCTTGGCTGCGCTGCTCTGGGTGGGCCATGATCGGGGGCGACTCTCCTCCACGGGGGCTGCTGGTGAGGAGGGAGTCATGGGGGGGAGGCGAGGCTGGGGCAACGGGACGTATGCCCACAGAAAGGGCTCTGAGTGCTGCCTCTGGCACGCGTGCCCTAGGTTCGCCCCCATTGCCCTATCCTATCCTATCCTATCCTATCCTATCATCTTATCATCTTATCTTATCGTATCTTACCTCTGCTGGAGTTGTGGTGGCTGCGCAAGATGGCAAGGTCAGTTTTGAACCCTCTCTCGGTGATGCTCACTCTCCGTGATGAGTGATCCCAGAAATGGGAGTCCTCCTCGTCCTCCATTTTATGAAGCCAGGCCATTTGGGGCAAGAATCTTCTTGTGGGGGTGTCAAAATGTGCAGCCAGCTGGTCATCCACATATCCCACCACAATGTAGTGGGGCACATCCTGGCTGGAGCCCATGACCAGGGTGTAGAAAATGCGCAACGAATGGGAGGAGGAGCCTGAAAAGAGCAGGGGGGGAAGGAAAATTGGGAGAGGGGTGCCCAAAGGCACACTTTTAATCCCCCCTTTTTTAATTTGAAACCAGTCCCCCCCCTTTTAGAGAAAGCCTCAGTTCAGCTGGACCTCAACTTACAACAGTTCATTTAGTGACCGAAGTTACAACGGCCCTGAAAAAGGGACTTATGACCATTTTTCACACTTACAACCATCGCAGCTTCCCCACAGTCAGGTGATCAAAGTTCAGACGCTTGGCAGCCGACTCATATTTGTGTCCTTTCTGCGACTTTCTGACGAGCAAAGTGAATGGGGAAGCCAGATCCGCTTAGCAGCGGTGTTACTAATTGAACGACGACGGTGATTGGCTTAGCAAACGTGGCGACAAAAGTCGTAAAATGGGGCAAAACTTACTTAATAAATGTCTCACTTAACAACACCAATTTCGGGCTCACTTGTACTCTAAAACAGAGGTCTCCACACTTGTTAAGTTTGTGAACTTCAACTCCCAGAATTCTCCACCCAGCATAGCTGGCTAAGGAATTCTGGGGCTTGAAGTCCACAAGTCTTAAAGTTGCCAAGGTTGGATATTCCCTGCTCTAAAATCTAGGGAAGGTATATCAGGAAAGATATCATGCAGTGATAGTCCAAAAGGGGGATCGACTGGGTGCCCTCTAGTACCCCTTCAATTCTACCCCAAGAGGTATAAAACCATGCCAAACACGTACAAAGAGTTTTAACAAAAGTGTACTTATTTCAGACAGGTGGGATTGAATCTAGCCACCTCGTCGGGC